TCGGGATGCCTGCTGCTGGTTTATTGCACAGAGCCCACTTTCACACCGCGGGCCTAAGTGGTTGTTTATTGTGGATTACCCTGTCTGTTTTGTTCAGGCCATTTGACAGACTGAAACAACAAATCTCATTCCCTGGTGAATTCCCTGTTTTTTTTAAGGTGTGGATCCTCTGATTTTCCTCCTGGAGTTGGACCCACACCAGCCCACATAAAATTACACAGGCTTGCAAATCTGAGCCTGTAACTGGAGATTGCCTCTGAAAACCAGTGCCATCTACAACATCTAGTCCATTGAATTGCGGTTTTATTTGGCTATAAACTTTCTCTACATTTGGGCCAGAGGCAGACCTGGTACACAAATTTTCGGTCTAAGCCCCTGCTCCGACCCTTTGCAGAAACAGAAGCCAGATGAAAAATGCTGGTGCTGGTCTAGGGAAGTGCTTTCTAACTTTCGGTTGTGAATTTACTCTAAGGCTGACAGAACTGCTGGTTTCCTGACCACTCCTGTTAAGGAGCTGTAAGATGCTGGTGGCTCAGGAGCCAGGGTATGGGATCGCTGGCCTGCAGCAAAGCCCTACCCACATCTGGGGCTGGGAAGATGAGGTGTGGATTGGGAGCCATCTCTAACTTCACTTCTGTCTTACACCTCTCGATTTGACAAACAGAAGTCAGCAAGCAAACTTAGCATTTCAAAAGGGAAGCTGTTTGCCATCCATTGAGCAAAGCTCAGGCTTTTAACAAGGGTAAATTTCCTTCGGCATGTCTGAAACGGTCAGAAAAACAGCTGTCCTGGATCCACTCTGCTTTCTTTCACATCCTTGTGCTGGGATTGTTCTGTGTGTGTTCATATGCTATTTATTCCTGTCTTTTTGCAGGACCGTTCCTAACATTTTGCCAGCTTCCTCTGCCGACTATTGTTCCCAATAGGAACGAAATGGTGGTACAATTGAATTCCAATTTCACACTCAAATGCTCTGGAGACAGCGAAGTGAGCTGGCAGTACCCAGTGACTGAGGGAAGCCACAAGATAGACATTAGACATGAAGAAAACAACAGTGGCCTCTTTGTGACGGTGCTCGAAGTAGGAAATGCCTCGGCTGCTCATACGGGCTTGTATGTTTGCTATTATAACCACACTCAAGTGGAGGATGGGGAAGTGGAAGGGAAGGACATCTACATCTATGTGCCTGGTAAGTGGAGTATGCCACAGCTGTACCCCACGGCTTGGATGGGAGAGCTGAACCATGGATGCTTAAAAGAGGCATATTGCTTATGGCAATTTGCTGTCAGAGGAAGATAAATGACTCCAGGGCCATTTCCTAACATGTAAATCAAAAACAGCCCCTGTGAGTCTGTGGATCTGATCCTTTTTCTGTTGGTTTTCACTTGTTTGGTAACAGTTTTAGTTCTCAAGAAAAGGGATGAATTCACACTTAGGAGCCGAGGTCTTTTGCCAGCCAGGGGCAGGGTAGTAGACATTGGTGGCCAGGTCAGCTCAGCTGTGGGCTCATGTCCAGCCTCAGGTTTGCCTGGCCTCCATGTGGAGATTAACGTCAATGCCAGTTCTTTCAGGGGTGACTTGGGTGGATGTTTTGGGATGTGTACTGACCAAACCAGTGCCGTGTCTGACGCTAAAGCAGTTGCCAGATGAGGAAGGCCACATCTTGTTCTAAACCTGAATTAGGTGTGAACTGAGAAAGGGAAAAAGCTCATGTGTGCACAGGGCCTGGGAAATGTAAAGCAAAGGAGATGTCTTGGGGGTGGCTGTCATAAGGGAGGGAGAAACAAGAAGTGTTGTTGTTGCTGGTCAGTCTGATGCAAGATTAAAAACATGGTGCTACTATGCAGTGCCCTGTAATTTTCAAAGCAAACACAGCCTTCCCAGGCCCTGTGCTGCCTTTCCCTTTAGTGGTGGAAAAACTGTTGGACCTGGAAGAAATGGCATGCCTTCTTTTTGGAAGTACCTATCCCCAGCTTTGGTCTCCGACCCCCTTGCTCTGACTGGAAATCTGTTTAAAGGCTTTTCACGCTATCCTCGGAATGAAGATCTTTATTGTCATAGCTGAGATGAGCACCAGAGGCTGAGCCACAACCAACTGCCTTTGTAAAGCCCTTTCTGGATGTTTTCTCAGCATTGGCTGGGGTTCAGGGGATGAGTGGCACAACTGTAGGGCCATGAAAAATCAAGCCAGTAGATTTGCAGTAAATACTTTGAACAGGAAACGAAAGAGAGAAGAGATTGCACATCATCCTGCAAAATTGCAGTATGCTGTGAGGGAGATGATATCTGCAACTACAAGGAAAACTGCGGCAGAGGAAAACGTCAGGTAGCAATAACAGAACTGTTTTAAAGACTATTTTGCAGTGACATGAAGTTTTTGCAGTTTACAATGTGTGATTCCAGGACAGCGATTCTTCCAAGACTTCTTCTCCATTTCCCATAACAAATGTAAAAGCATTTGAACTCGTTCCTGAAGCAAGAAGTTTCGGTAGAGGCTGCAGGCTTTGGCATGTGTATCTCAATTTCCAAACAGGTCTAACCAAATCACCAGAAGATGTTGTTGGTGTTAAGCAGTCTTGTAATTCACTCAGTGAAGGAATATAAAGGCAAGAGATGGAAGATGTATTCAAGAGGGCTTTTTGGTTTGTTTTTTAAAAGCCTTTAGACATCAGCCTACCAGATTTGCAGGGCAGAGTCACCCTGTAATTTTTTCCACTCACTAACTATCGAGATGTCATAAATGCAGAAACATATCCTTTTCTCCAAATTATAGAGAATGTTTCTGTTTCCACTATAAACTTTGTCTTTGCGATTGTTTTTCCTGCGATGAATTAGGAGGGCAATGGGTGGCAGCAACCCACTTTAGCCAAGGAGGATTACATTGAGACTTCACACAATATCCTATTTTCATTAACAGCACACAGAAAACCAAACTAGGTGAATCCTGTTTCTGTTTTAAATTACAGTGGGAAAATGAATACATGGAGTTGGCAGCATCTTTGGGACAGAACACTGTGTTTGGAATATTGCTACAAAGAGCCTGCCAGTGCAGCAGAAAGTCTATTGTTGGAGGGATTTGAATTGCTGTTTATTAAATTTTGCTATAAAGCTTTGCACAGAAGCTCCAGGCTAGCAGGGATTATTTGTTTATTCCGAATGGCCGAATGGAGGTGATTTGAGGGCTATGCTTTTTAAGTTGGCTATGTTATCCAATTATGTTTTTAACTCAGACTTTAGCTTGGCTGCGTAGGAAAGTTGGCATGTATTTTGTTGACTTTAAAAGAAATAAAACTACCAGGTGTTTGTTTGCTTTTTTTCTGGTTGAATACCATATTTTGAAAACCACATGCTGTGACCATAATTAACTATGTTTCATAACTGTAATGCTGGACATGTTAGAAATGAATGAGGATAAGTACCTTGAACTATTTTTGATGAGATGTGGCTTTAATGGTGTTCAGCATAAATAACACGCAGCTGATTTCTACTTTTTGACATGGGAAGTGTTTGGAATTTTTTCGTGATTTTTTTTCCCCCCAATTATATATTGGTTAGGAGACAGCTACTACTACCAAAGGGAAAAAGCCCCAAACCCTTCACTGAATGAGTGATTTGTGCCAATAAATGGCAGGATCTTTAGTAATTTTTTGTGTGTGTACTAAATGTTGCACCTAAGTGCAAAATACTGTGTCATAAAACCAGCATGTTTAAGTCCAAATTCTTCCCTGAGATGTTTCCTGTACATATATCTTGACAGAGTTGTCTGTGATAAAGTGAATTCATCTTTACGTTAGTCCCCAGCAATTGCATGAATGTTTTCATACCCAGAAGTGATTTTCTTGGTTTTTGTAACTTAAAATCCTTACGCCCTTACTGTAGGAATACGTCAGAACCAAGTCTAAGGGGATTAATAATAATATTTAGTATTTTGGGGGGGAGGGATCTTTTCTATTTTTCATTCTGCATCCTGAATTGTCACAATAGAGCCCAAGTCCTTTCCTGTTTTGTGCTTAGGTCAAATGTCTCTCTACATATCATATCAAATAGCAAAAGTGAGATACTGCATGCAATTACCGTGTGCTACCTTCAATCTCTGATAAAGTGGGCTAATGAACGGTATTATTTTCAGTTCTGATCTGTAAGTGGTCATTAATACCCAGTTCTTGTACATGGACTTACTACAAACAAGGCAGTGTAAAATTACCTCTTGTTTTTTACAGACCCAGATATGCCTTTTGTCCCTTCTATACCAGAAGACCAGTTCATCCTAGTAGAAGAAGGTGATCCCACCGTTATTCCTTGTCGGACAAGTGCCCCAAACGCTGAAGTGACTTTAATTAACAGTTTAGACAAGGCTGTCTATGCTTTCTATGACAGCAAACAAGGCTTCATAGGGAATTTCCCTGCAGGCTCGTATACATGCAAAACAATGGTTAAAGGTGTGGAGTTCAAGTCCGATGAGTTCCTCATCTATATTTTACGAGGTATTTATTTTTGTTCTTAAAAAATTCTGTAATAATGTTCATCCCAGTTCTTTCCTTACACTGTAAGAACCATATTAACATCAGCATCACAGGGTTATATTGAGTATTTCCCCAGTGATGAGATCCTTGCTCCTCCAGCAGCATTCCCAGTTACTTGGTTGCTAATTTACTTAGTGGTCACATACAGTTTTGATGAGAATAAAGTGTCCTTAACTTTATCTCATCTCTTACATGGTTGTAAGAAAAATCTTCTGTAATCCACGTATTTTCATTTTGTTTGCTGAAATGTAATTTAAAAGACCGGTGTTTCCCAGGGGCTTCAAATCATAGGAGTTTGGATAGTCTGAAAAACAGTATGATTCAAATATTTTGAGAACAAGGTTTTTGTTGGCTAGCAAGGGATTTTCAAAGACAGTCACTGGTTTGCAAAATGGGAAATTACTTTTATACTGAATGCCTTCTCACAGGAGAATTGGAGATAGAAACTTCTAATCGAAATTTTATGCATGGATCTTTTCTTTGTGGGATTGAACTCAATGCCTGTACATTTCCTGCTTTAAGCACAAATTGTTTAAATGAGTATAAATAAGCAGCACTTTCACTGAATTTTCCAGGTAGTTCCTCAGTAGGGGAAGTGAAACAGAAATCTCACTCCTGAAATTGCACCATGTGAAAACTGCATACTTTATAAAACTAAATCTGCTCTCTCTTCTCCTAGCTACTTCACAGCTGCCGGTTGAAATCGAAGCACTCAAAACTGTCTACAAAACAGGCGAGACCATCGTAGTGACTTGTGTGGTCTTTGACAATGAGGTGGTTAATTTACAGTGGAATTATCCTGGGAAAGTGGTAAATCTCTCTCTGTTTTTTATCTATCTATCTATCTATCTATCTATCTATCTATCTACCTTTTTTTCTTTGAATGTTTGTAGTTACTTTTTGGGGAGGAAGCTGGGGTTGTAAAATACTCTTCGTTTCTCTCAATCAGGACAGCTGAGGAGAGAAAACAAAGTAATTTACTTCTAGGCTAACACAAAAGATATTCAGTCCCTAAAGTTAGAATTTGTTGTTAGCAAGTATGAAAAGCATGAAAGGATGGTTGAGGTATAACCAGGAGTCCATCCTCTGAGGGAGGAATGCTGTCTCTCAGGTCTTCTGCTGGTTCACAAAAAACCAAAAGTTGTGGAAATGGAAAGATCTAGGAACATGTTGGATGTCTGCATAAAGCTCTGCTGTTGGAGGTCTGAACCTCTAAAATGGTTTTCTTAAACCCTGGATTCTTGGGTTTAACAAAGGGTGATGAAGAATTAAGTCCATCGTCTTAATTGTTCCTTATTATGCAGGTGTAAATTAAAATTATTCTTACGGTCAGTGTAATTACTTACTAATGAGTACTGTCTAGTAAGAAAACCTGAAAACTTTTGGAGAACCTTGGACATTTTCTAACTGGTGTAACATGCTTCTGCACTGAAAATTTTTATTTGGTGAAACTTGGTTAGTCCTGGCCAAAGGAGATTTTCAGAGTACCCATGTAAAAAGTCTTGTCACTGAAGGAATGGAGTAGTTGAAGTGTACTTAGTTGTGACCCCAAACCCCAGTTGTTATTTAAGTAGGTTAAGAGACAAAGAAGAAAGATTATTTGAGAAGGTTTTGTTCTATTTTCCATGTTACACACCATAATCTCTGCTATATGCCACCTTTTAAAACTAGCCCTGGCATATTTTTTGTTCCAGCCTCTCATGGTGACACGGTCAACAATTCTCACCATCCTTTTATTTGCAGGAGTCTTCTCCTTGCCAATAAATTCTTGTTTTCAGAGCAGGCAGAACATAGCATCAAGCACTGATTACTTTTTGTTTCACGGAAGGGGTAAAAATTCACCCTACTTCATGGGAACTGACCAAAGAAAAGCCAAGTAGCTTTTATGTATGAGGAGAAGGTAGCGCATAAACAGTAAAGTGCTCTTTCAAGCTGCTCATGCAAATTCAAACGGAATTAGTTTTGAGTGAACAAAATATGAGCTCTCAACCTCCTCACCCTTCTGTGCCTGCCTGCAAAAGGGTGTATTTTTATAGCACACCTTTTGTGCCTGTGGCTGAAAAATACATCTCTGAGTAAACAAGCTTTCTGCCATACAGGGTGTATGTAGATGGCTGCTCTCACTCCTGTCATCATAGATCCTTAGTGGTGTCCTTTCAGCTCATTTACTTAAGTAGGGTTTTTTTTTTTTTTTTCTTCTCCAAACTACAGAAAGAAAAAGGTCTGATAAAACTCGATGATATTAAAGTCCCATCGCAGAAGCTGGTTTACACCTTGACCATTCCTGAGGCATCAGTGAAAGACACAGGGGATTATGAATGCACTGCTCGGCATGCAACCAAGGAGGTTAAGGAAAATAAGAAAGTAGTCATTACAGTTCATGGTACAGTCTGATTTTAGTGTCCAAAAATTATTAACACTTTGGAAAACACTGTTCTTGATAAATGCTGCACAGTGTGTTTACACAAGGCTTTTTCATTTGCAGACAAAGGCTTTGTTCATCTGGAGCCTCAGTTTAGCCCTCTGGAGGCTGTCAATCTACACGAAGTCAAAAACTTTGTCGTTGATGTGCAGGCATACCCAGCACCAAAAATGTACTGGTTGAAGGACAATGTGACTCTGATTGAAAATCTTACTGAGATTGTTACTAGTTCCAACAAAATCCAGGAAACAAGGTAAAAATACTCTTCTGACTCTTACTTTGCTGTATTGACTTGAGTTTCTTCCCCAGAAACCTAGGCACTGCTGCTGCTCTCTCTTTCCACCTCAGTTTGTTGCTTCTTCCTCAGTGGCATTTAAAAATAATTTCTTTGTTTTCTACTCTAACAGGTGATGACTAGTCTGCCTCTGCCTTCATAACATCAACATCTCCAAACCATAGATACCTTAATTATTGAGCACTAAGCCTTTTCAGTCCTTCCAACGTGTCTCCACACCAACAAGTTCTAGCTTTTTCCAGTACTACCAGAGGCTTTGTCAGATCCTTGCAGAAATAACTGTGTCCACTTGTTTCTCAGTTGTATGTTGGTAGTTATTTACCGCTTGAGTAGTGACTTCAGTTGAAGGCATGCTGGAAATGCTAAATGTCACTACATTATAATCTTTACATACCCAGATTACATGTTGCACTAAATTGTTTTGGTTTTTTTTTTTTCATGCCTGCTTTAAAAATTCAAACAAAACCTTTTGTTTCTGCAGATTTCAGAGCATATTAAAATTGATCCGGGCCAAGGAAGAAGACAGTGGATACTATACTTTGGTTGCTGAAAATGAAGATGAGATTAAAAGATACACCTTCTCCTTGCTGATCCAAGGTAAGAATCCCCCCAGACTCTTGCCCACCAGAACTGATGGCACAGAGAAAAGACTTGATCCACTTACACACTGGATTGCCCAAAGTATGGAGATAAGAACGGTGTGAACTGGGGTGTCCAGAGGAGTGCATGTGTGCCGAAGCACTGGAGATCTCCTACCCCGATCCTGCCTTTCGCTTCTGTGCTGGCCTTGAGCCAAAAAGAAACTTTATCCTCCTGCCTAAGTTATTCCAGCTGACAGCAGGGATGGTAGCTCATTTAGTATGGTATGAGGACGTGGCATAACCACAGCGCTTCCTTTCCATGGCTCTAGGCTAGGATCCACTCTGTCCTACAGGAGATAGGGACCTCCTGGATGAGCCTGGGTCTCTAGCTGTTCCTAAGCTGTTTTGCTTTATTTGAAATTTCAGGCTGGTTTTTCTAGACCCTGACAAATATTCTAACAAATTCCTGTTCCCAGTTCCAGCCTTGATCTTAGACCTCGTGGATGACCACCATGGCTCTGTGGGTGGGCAGACGGTGAGGTGCTTGGCGGAGGGGACCCCTCTTCCTGATGTGGAATGGCTGGTTTGCAAAGACATTAAAAAGTAAGAGCAGTGGGTGTTTCCTTATCTAAAATGTGACCTGTGGTGTCCTCGATTAGCATAACATTATAGTTACAGTACCGTGTTTTCCTCATCAAGCACCAGTAAGCTCTAGATAATTCTTTTCTTTTTAAATTCATGTTGTTCACATTTCAAGAGAGGTTGTCAGTGCCTTTCTATTGCTTCCTGTAGGAGAAGACACAATGCACCAATTCAGGAGGTTTCTCTCTTATCAGCTTTGTGTTCAATAAATGAACTCAGCAGATTGCACAGTCCCAGTTTAAGTAAGGATCTTGAGAAGTAGCTATCCCTCAATTCAGGGAGTTCTTATCATTGTGCAGGTAGCTCAGTCTGCCTCATTTACACTTTTACATGCTTCTTTTTTTTTTACTTGTAGTTATTGCCTCCCTAATTATAATTTTCACCTTCAAAGTATTTTAGACATGTGGAGTAGTTGCTCTGATTCTTGCTAGTTCTAGGCTGTTTCTTTCTGTGGCTGCTGGGAGGCTGTTTTTTACCTGGGACATTATCCACCAGAGAGAGGGAGACCATGCATGGAAAAAGGCTAGGAGCTCTGGGCACCTCCTAGCTGTGTTCTGCTCTCATTGTGATAAAATCTCTTACTGCCTGGTGGGACAGCTGTACTCCTAGCCCTGCCCCAGCGACTCTTGTACAGCATTAAGGATCCAGTACTATAACTCTATGGGATACGTAGTGACAGCAAGGTCTGCCTATACCAGGTCTTCTGGTGTGCACTGTCAAGCCCTCAAAGCAGCAGCAGTAGTGAGGATCTGAAGACAAATTATTCTGAGGGAAGAAGGGTGCAGGCTTTTCACAGAAGTCATCTTAAGCATTTCTGGTCTTTAAAAAGATTGTTGTCAGAAGGAAGTTATAGGGAAAGGTGATTCTTGTTCTTTACTCTCCTTTATCCATACCTATGCCCAGCACTCATTTCCCTTGTTATTCTTCTTGGCAGGTGCAGTAATGACACCTCATGGACTCTTTTGACTAACAATATTTCTGATATACATATGGAAGCCCACCTGGATGAGAATAACATGGTGGAAAGCCAGGTGACGTTCCAGAAGGTAGAGGAGACCCTGGCTGTGCGATGTGTGGCAAGGAACGACCTTGGTGCTGTTACTCGGGAACTGAAGCTTGTGGCTCCCAGTAAGTTTGCTTTGTCCTTCTGGGAAATTTCAGCAGCCAGTTTGACCCCTTTCTAACACACCCCAGTTCAGCCTTAACAGATAAAAATATTGATTGTTGCAGATAAAAACAACTGGAAATGAATTTTTTTCCACCCTGGCTCATCTGGGCGTGAGGCATTCTACAGGTTTTTATGGTGCATCTGTTTTTCACTTGTTATGTGGTTCCATGATTCATTTTATCATTTTATGGCCACAGGCTATGGGACGTTCCTCTAGACTATCTCTTCTTTTGGTTTTGAAACAGGAAGGCAGAGCAGCTCTGGGCTTGGAAAGACTTCACAGTCACCAGCCTCAGGAACTGCTCCTGTAACATCTGCAGGACACGGGAACTGTGATGGGTGTTTTATGTGTGTGTCATGTTCCTTGTGGCTCAGGAGGAAAACATGGTCTGTCTTTTTACTCCACAGCCTTGCGATCAGAATTGACTGTGGCTGCTGCAGTCTTAGTGCTGTTAGTGATTGTGATAATTTCATTGATTGTCCTGGTCATCATATGGAAACAGGTAACGTAGAAAAATATTTTGGTTTGGATGCTGAGTCCTGCTGGGTTTTGATCTGCTCTGAGGTCAGGCACAGGACTAATGGTTGGTTTTGCATTCAATGTGCTTTGCAGAAGCCCAGGTATGAAATAAGATGGAGAGTCATTGAATCTATCAGCCCTGATGGCCATGAATACATTTATGTGGATCCAATGCAACTGCCTTATGACTCCAGATGGGAATTTCCTAGAGATGGGTTAGTGCTAGGTAAGTTTCCTCTATGGGACTAAACTCATCCTTCTCTGGGGAGAAAGACAATTAAGGACAACTCTGAGGTCTCTGCTACCGGGTTTGCAATGTTAGTTATGGCCATGATATCCAGAACCTCTCTGTACCTGTCTGTTCTCCTCAGTTCTTCAGCTGCATCCTTTCTTCTCCTACAGTCGTGTCAGCCTTGGGTTCCTTGTGTTAGTGTCTCCCGTACTTCAGTTTCAGCTCTCCTTGACAAGCCCTGTGTGCAGTGCCCACTTCCACATGGCTCTGGGGGCCTCTCGTTCACTTCTGCTAAGGCACTCACAAGAAGTGCATCAGCATTTTTAATCTGCAAGACATTTATATACTTCTGTGCCTTTGAGGCCAAGGGAAATCTGCAAGTAGTTATGCAGCTTTATTAAAAGTATTTTTTAAATTATTAATCAGCACTGTGCCTTTATGGGTGCTGTGTAACTGCATAACTTATTCTTACGGGTACTGTCCTTCTTCTTTTCCCTTCTGCTTTCTTGCTTTGTTATACCTGCACTGGAGTTTATGCAGAATTCAGTTGTAATTGCTTCTTAGGGGCTGGCCCAATCTGCCATTTGTATCAATTGAAAGTGTAATGATTATAAACAATTTTAGTGTTCTATCTAGTCACTGCTTTAAACATACAAGCCTTCCCTCTCTTGGAGGTATCTGTGCACTAAGTTGTATCATAGAATATTTGTTGTTTGATACATTTTAAGAAAAATACTCTCCTGGTGTAATTCCCCTTCCCCATTACAGAGAAAGAATTGATGTTAATTCTTGAAAGAAGCAGCACAAAAATTTCTGGTTCAGGAATGATGTCGTTTAATTACATTCATATTGCTAACTGAAAACTAGAGGAGTGTGAATATTTAATGGAGTTATTTTATGACCCAGGCTTTAATTATATGCCTAAATAGGATTTGTCAGATCTGAGTTGTTAACAGACCACCACTGTGACTTTGTCTCCCTCTGACTCATGAGCATCAGCCTGCATCTGTCTTCCTGTTTACAAGTACATTCAGGATAGTTGGTGCTTTAAAAACTAATGCTGTATGTCCTTTTGACAATCTAGATTGTACAAGCATTCTTCATGACATGGTTAACATTTACCCATTGGCAGTTTTGCCATATGAAATGCTTGCTGGCGTTTTTTTGTTTCTGGGGCTGATAATTCTGGTTTGTGTGGGTTTTCTCTTATTGAAGTGGGAGATTGCACCAAAGTAATTATACCTTCAGCTCAGGGAGGCTCTGAAGCAGGATACAAACCCGTTTTGGCTCAGTCAGACAAGCATTTCCCATCCTTGCTGTGTAAGCCAGCTGTCATTTATTTGTTTTTCTAGCTAGTAGTGCCTGGAGTGCAGTGCTGTGTTAAATGACAACTTTGAACATTGGCTGGTTGGAGTTTCAATTGATAAATTTGGGTTACACTGCAAATTTCCCTTTGCTATCACCCCTCCACAATGCATGTAGTGTGCTGCTGTTGAAAGTACTCAACAGCCAGCACAAGACATTAGTAACAGTGTGAAAAATGTGATAACACAGTGTGCTGTTTGAATGCCACTGCCTTATCCTGGCTCTGCTGAGAAGTGGTGAGGTCCCAGCAGGACCTGGACCTCCTCCTTTGACAGAGATGGCAGAGGGCACAACCTTTTGAGGAGTGGAGTCCAAGTGCTCCTCAAAGTCAGGATCTTGGGCTGGCTGTAGAGAGGGGGCAGAATTGTTCCCATTCCTTCCCAGCAAGCCACCCATTTGTTCTGGTGGACTTAAGAAAATGAAATGCTGGTCTGACACAGAATCGGACCCATCCCTGTTTCAAAAGGCAAGTTAAGATTCAAGATGCACAGCATTTAAGTATGTGATACCTAGTTTCTCATGAGTCTAGAAATCGGATGGAGATTTTGAAGCCTGTCACTTTCAAAATAGACCACGAGAGTTATGGTTTAATTTGGGCTAGGCTAATCATCCCAGTTCAGCTTTAGCTGAAGAAGCATCTGGTTGAGAAGGTTGTGTTTGGAACAAATTCACAGGCTTCACCTTTGTATTTGTGTGCCCCCGAGCAGAACAGCACTTCTCTGTCAGGCTAAGCAGATGGGTGCAGAAGCTGAAATAGCTCTCACCCCCAGGTGCTGTTTCCTCACTAGTCTGAGGAGCCTTGAGCTGTTGCTGTGTTTGCACTGTCCTTCTGCAGCAGAGAAGCAGCTTTGCTCCTCTGGTGAACAGATCACAGTGGTGCCATTAGACTAAGAAAAGTAAACTAATGCTGTAACTTCGGGGTCCATTGAAGGCCTAGACATCAAGAATGTGATGGCACTACAGATGCCTCCAGCACTTGAGCAGTCAGTGCCCACCTGACTCCAAATTTCAAGTGTAAAACATATGAGGCTTGGACTATGTCTGCGGAGAGGGGTGAAAAGGGGAAATAGCAGTGACTCTTCCCTGCCACACTGGAAGTGCTCTCACCGTCTGCATGTGCACCCCAGCTCAGCAGAGGTGATGGAAAGGGAAATGTGAGCCTCATGCTCAGCTGACAATATGGTTTGGGGAGGAACTGGCTTGTGAAGACAAGAAGATCAAGGAGCATCAGCAAATGCCATTGCATTCTGAAGGGCTGCATCCTGCCATATGGCTCCCAGACCTTTGGTCTGAAAAGTTTCAGGGGCCAAATTTCAGACTCAGGTTGTTTGAGTTAGTCTGAAATTTAGTGGGCAGCTTTCTCACATCCTGATTGCGAAGAATAACGTTTGGAGCACAGGAATCTTGAAAAGAAATCACATAGCTTTTGTGTGCATGACAAACTGCATTGTCATAGCCTTGGAGAGGTTCTTCAGTGGTAACCCAGCTAAGCATTTTTAACCATTTCTTGTGCTTGTTAATGATGTAGATATTGTTTAGCTGGAAATTTTTTAAAAAGCATGTATACATAAAAGTGCAGGCTGTAGCTAGAGGATAACACAAACGTATGACCTTGTATGTCAGCTAACACCTTCAGAAGCATAAACTGTGGCAAGTTCAAACTGCAAATGAACATCAAAGACAAAATGCCATCTATCTCTGTAGTAAAAGTCACTACTTGTTTTTTCTGTGCTGGAAGTTAAAAAGTAACATAGAATAAAATAGAGAGCTTATGAGAAATATGGAGATATCATGGCATCTGGAGCTCATATACGGATTTGTTCACTGAGTAAGTGAACTTGCTCTTCAATATGGAAACTATGAAATATAATATTTTTGAGTGTGTGTGTGCGGTTCATATTTTTCTAAAGGCTCACTCAATCTGTATGCAGTTCTTCTGCACACTGTATCTATATCAGGAGACAGGATATGATAATCCAGAATTTTTGTCTAAATTGATCTGTGGGAAGAGTAAGCTGTGTATAAACATTAGCTGTTTCATTACAGCACTTGGAAATTTGCAATAAAGTTTATTCCAGCATATGAAACACACTTGTACATTAAACTTCAGAGAAGTTTCCCCTCATATGTGATCAACATGTATTTCAGCTTCTTGCAGAACACTGATTGTCCTGCTTGTCTATTTCTACATGTGCTGTTGATGTGATTTATTCTATCTTACTGCTAGATGTATCCAGCCTTGATATAACAACCCAAAACTATAGCTAAGGAACCTGACTCAGATTTTTAAGTAAAGGGCACAACTGTACTGTAGTCAAACGCTGACTGAGGCAGAGAGGCAAACTTAAACCTAGGAGAATCAATGATTAGAAAGGACACAGATACGAGATGAATTTGAGTGAGTTGAGCTCCCATGTACAGGCAGATGTGCTTCTGATGTTTGCTTGCTTGTTTTTATTTAAGAATTGTACTTAATGACAGCATTTCATATTTGCCTTTTCTGCATAACAATAGTGATAACAATAATACCAGTCTGGCTAAGTGAGTGTGCTCTTTCCACACAAGAATCACAACCAGTAGAGGAATGGCAGTGGGAAATGAGGTGAATTGTTGTTATTTTCTGAAATATATAATGCTTTCCTTTGTGTTCAGGTCGAATTCTTGGTTCTGGTGCATTTGGAAAAGTAGTTGAGGGGACTGCATATGGATTGAGTCGCTCTCAACCAGTGATGAAAGTAGCTGTGAAAATGCTGAAACGTAAGTTGTCACAGTTCCGTTTCTCAAGGTAGGTAGGGCATGTTTCCACAGGGTTATTTAAACATTGCTTGTACATAAATAGATTCCCCATATCTGAAGTTGAAAATGAACTATGGAATGACTGAAGTTTAAAATTATACTTTAGATTGCTTCATAGCATTTCAAGATTGAAAGTACCCAGGCTTCTGAAAACATCCAAAGTTTGATTTTAGCTGTATGGACCATAGCAGAAAAGATAAAATAACCATGAATGTTTGTGAAAAAATAAAGCTACACAACAAAAGAGAAATAGACAGGTTTCATGTGAGAATCTTCAGCTGACTGAAGATTTCCCAGTTCATGACAGCTGAGAATGTGATGCAGTGATGCTTGAGGAACCATGAGGAACTTGCTTGTGTTGAAATGAGCAGCTTGTAAAGAGCTTCTGTGCCACCTGGGCAATCCTCTGTTCCCCTGCAGAGGGACAAACAGACTGGGTCAGCTATTGAGCTGCATCAAGTGAGTCCTTTATTAGTGATTTGTGACTCTTCTCTAAGTCTAAGAAAGCCCTTTGTCAAGTAAAAGACACAGTCTTCAAGAACCATGGTAGCAATGCTCTAATGAGGCAAGCAAGGAGAAAACGTTTGTTACTGTGAAAAAGGTGATTGCTCTCACTGAGTGTCTGGTGTGGTTTTTTCTACAGCTACAGCTAGATCCAGTGAAAAACAAGCGCTCATGTCTGAACTGAAGATAATGACACATCTTGGCCCCCACCTGAATATTGTGAATCTGCTTGGGGCTTGTACAAAATCAGGTGGGTTTGGCTGACAGAATGAAGCTGTGCCGTGGAGCCATCATTCACTGTTTAATAAGCACACACATTTCAAGTAAAGGATTTAACAATAAATATGAAAAAATAAAAGGTTTCACAAACCTACTTGATGTTTGGCAGTAGTTGCAGTCATAACTTAGTAAATAAAAATGTACTAACCCACAATTTTTATGGTTTATATTCTATTTTCTACTGGTTTTAGAGGGTTTTATTAGTATTATTATTTCAATGCATTATTTTGTTTTATTTTATCAGGTCCTATTTACATCATTACCGAATACTGCTTTTATGGTGATTTGGTGAACTATCTGCATAAGAACAGGGACAATTTCCTGAACAGACACCCAGAGAAGCCAAAGAAAGATTTGGACATCTTTGGGATGAACCCAGCTGATGAAAGCACAAGAAGGTGGGGAAAAAAATAGTAATGACCTGCAACATAAAGAAATGTCATTACTGACACTTACTCCATTCCTCTTGTTCATTGGCTGAAAGCCTTCCCTAATTCTTCTAATCAGACTTTTATTTACTAAGTTTCATAGATCTAGAAAGGTTGCAGCACTTTTTTTCAGTCTTCCTGACATGTGCCCTGGATTCATGTTTCCCCTGTGTAGAATGCCTGCAATTGCAGGATCGTCATTGGTTCTCCATAGACATCCTGAAGACCCAAAACCAATTCCTGTTAATAAAGTATGGCCCAAAGTTCTTTTTTTCTGTAAATACATCCTTTTGCCTCTACCCAATCTTAAAACGTAAAGTGCTATTACTTGTTTTCCTTGTTTCCCTGCTTGGGGAATTTCTGCTGTTTAAAACTATTTCCATTCAAACAACTTGACAGAGCTTGTTGTCCAAGCTCAAGTACTCTCCTTTATCTACCAATGGCTTAGCCAGTCTCAATAGTTTCCTCATGCTTAATGTTCATCCCATAGCTTTCTCCAGATGATGGTGAAGGAAATTTGTCATCATACATTCAGCAATAAGGCAATATCATAAAATTAGCCAGGATTCAAAAGTTGAACAGAGATTCCTTCAAAAAATCACTCAGGCAAATAGCTCAACTGATTCAGGAGCTGAGTACATCCAGGACGATTCACCTGAGCATGGGTTTGTTCAGAAGGACTGGATTTGATGCAAACTGTCTGAGTGAATGAATTACATCTGTCATTCTGAATACCTTCACCTGAAAGCCCAAGTAATAATAATACTTGAATTCAGTGGGATTTTCAGATGTTAGACAATATATGTTTACATACTTAACCATTTTCAAAAGGGCAGGTTCAAAGCACTCGAATTTGTCTGCAGTGATACCTGGTAACATGTACTAATATGTGACAATACACAGTTATATTACAATACATGATCTTTATGTATTCTCCACCAAGAAATCAGCTCCTGTATTTCACAGCAATGCAACTGTACACCATTAGAGAACTGTTAGATCTACAGGATGCTGTGGCAGGGAAGTCACCTGGACACCACTAGCTGACACACCTATGTTTCTTTTCCAACTTCAGTTATGTGATATTATCATTTGAAAACACTGGAGAATACATGGACATGAAACAAGCTGATACCACTCAGTACGTGCCAATGCTGGAAAGGAAGGAGGGATCTAAATACTCTGATATTCAAAGATCTGTGTATGATCGGCCTGCTTCATATAAGAAGAAATCTATGTCAGGTAATCTAGAATTGTCTCTTCTGCATACATCATTAACACAAATAATTCTTACATAAATGCATAGCTTGGTTTTGCTCTCTATGGAAGTAAACTATTCATCCGTGTTCTGCAAGCATGCAAGTATAAGCTGTAAGATAAAAGCTTATGCTTGTGTTCTTTGTGCTCTGGGGGTAGGAATTTATGTTCCTGGAGCAAAAAGGTCCAGTTGGGTATTTGCTTCTGTGCTGAAGTGTTGAGTGGCTGTGCTCTGCAACAGGGCTATAGGCATTTTTTGGAGGCAGTGGTTCTACCAGTCTTGTAGTTTGCAAGATTTTGAGTAATAGCAATGAACAACAATAATAGTAATTTATATTGCTCTGTTTCCACTTACATTTCACATTAACTGACACTTACCAAATGCAGAACACTCCCAAATACTTTCCTGGATTATGTAATGAAGATAATGAATACATCCCATTCCCTGGCCCTGTTCTCAGAAACCAAATATGCTTTGCTTTAAAAATAGGCACTGTCCCTTCTGCCTCTAGGCCTCAGAAGCTGAACCATATCCAGCCCCAGATTTACATCGCAGACTAATGTACTCATATTGTGCCCTAGGACAGTTGGGGTAAATGAATCACTGAATTGTGACTGGGTTTTTTCTGACATCTTTCATAAAAAAATAAGAACTGTTGCCACAGAATTCCTGACCCTTGCTGCTGGTATTGGATTAGTCCCAGTGAATACTTGCTGGGAAACATAACAGTATTCAGCAAAAGTAAATGGATAAGAATGTACATGCACGCACAAAAACCTAATGAAGGCACCACCTCTAAATAAATGTTTTTGTACCACACACTGAGTATTGTAAACAACCTCTGTAATGCTTCAGTGAGCTTTTTAACTTCACTTTTTCCTGTAGTTCTCTGAGGAAAAAAATACAGACAGGAGAAAACCCAAAACTTATATTTAATACTGGTTGTTTTTAAAAATGCAGTATGTGGCAGTGACTGATGAAGACATTACAAGTGGTTAGTTATTATGAAAAGACTGGTTTGGTCATGGTACTCTGTTAAAATCATCAGCTTAGAATCACAATAGGTAGGGGGAAATGGATGCTGCATTCACACTCTGAAGCACAAACACATTTTTCCTTCTCAACAGAATCAGAAGTCAAAAACCTTCTTTCAGATGACAGTTCAGAGGGCCTCAGCCTGCTGGATTTGCTGAGCTTCACCTACCAGGTTGCACGGGGAATGGAATTCTTGGCTTCTAAAAATGTAAGTAGGTAAAAAGTAAATAAAATTGAAGAAAGTGTAAAAAAGTCTTTGTCTCCAACTGTGGTTTTCAATTTAGCTTCTGAAAACACCACACAATATAATATTCTTTTTGAGGCTGTAGACAGCTTTCTTACTTGCCTGGCAACTGACATCGCCATGGTTGGAAAAATCAAAGCAGCAGTCAGTCCTCCTGTTGCAGCCATGACATTCATGGAGCCAGGGTGCCAGAGATGGTGGTGGATCTAGGCAGCGTCTGGGTGGAGGGTACATACAGCCACAGACTAGCATGGTCAAGAATCATAGACATAACATTACTACGTGATGGGTAGAAAGGGAAAGGCTGGCATCATTTTTATCTCCTCCCCACTGCAATGCATCCGTATGAGCCCTTGTGGGTTCTGAGGACTGGTGCCTCCTTGCCCTTGTTAGCAGGGCAATACAGGTGCCTGTTCAGTAGAAGGCCTTCCTAAGATTGTGCCCAGAAAGTCAACAGATCTTTTTTCAAGGATCTTTGCAAAGGAAATGGCCCTCATGGAACTAGCACGTCCTTGAACAACTTCATTTCTCTCCACACAGTGTGTGCACCGTGACTTGGCAGCTCGTAATGTCCTCCTGGCTCAAGGAAAAATCGTGAAGATCTGTGACTTTGGGCTGGCTAGAGACATCATGCATGATTCCAACTATGTCTCCAAGGGCAGCGTATGTACTACTTAATCTCCTGAGCTCTGTTTTAATTGAAAGGAGAAGTGTCAGTTTTAAAGGCTGTTTGATGTTCTTGCCATTCAGTGCTGGTTACACTAATTGACCCTTGGGATGAACGTTCTCGAGAACAATTTTTCTTCAGTTCATTAATTCCTGTAACTTTCTTAATTCCACCTTGAAGCCAAAAAGTACTTGGCCACACTTAGTACTTCACAGGCTGATATTTTAACTGGCAAGTTTTGTGACTGGATAAATTATTAAGGAACTGTCAATATGATATGGAGAGTAATGACATGTCAATCAATGATATAGACTAGATCTGCAGTGCCAGCTTTTGTATCACACCTTCAATCAGCTTGGTCATTTGCTAGTGATAAAATGAATAAAGTTACTGGTTAATTAGGTTCTGTGGGGAGCAAATAGTAGCATTGCTTATAGTCCTGGTACATCTGTGCTATATGAAATGAAAAACAAACACTAGCCAGGTTAAAGCAACTTTTCTTATTAGAGAGAAGTTAATCCTGGTTACCAAACTTTACAATTGTAATGGGAAGCATTTCTTTAATGACTAATCTGTGTTGTTTGGGGTTCCTTTCTTTTTGTTCCAGACTTTCCTCCCAGTAAAATGGATGGCACCTGAAAGCATTTTTGACAATCTGTACACAACATTAAGTGATGTCTGGTCTTATGGCATTCTGCTGTGGGAAATATTTTCTCTTGGTATGTACTGTGAACACTTTCCTATGTGTAGTGATTAAGCTTTTTCAGTTCAAGCTGTCCTACATAACGTATTTAAAATTCTACAGTAAAAATGTATGTGTGAATCAACTGTTATTCTTCTATATGGGGTTTCAGATCTCAGAGTTTGGTGTGAAGTGAAATTTCCATACTCTCCCAAAGTTCTCTTTAGATTTTTTTTTTCTGCAAGATACTTTTTTGCTTGCTAGAAAACTTAAAACAATGAGTGAAAAGGTTTAGTGGAAAAGAATTGATGTGCTGGGCTAGGATGGATTTTCTGGCTAATATGAGAAGGAACATGTTTCCCACTTGCAATGGGGTGCCTGGGGCTGCAGCCCAGCCCAGTGGCTGGTTTGAAATAATCTCTTCATGTATGTTTCTTTGTCCCATTACTGAATGAAAACAAATGTCAATCTTCTGGGATACTGATTTCTCGTTTCCAGGTCAGCACCGTTCACACAGTTGGTTTATGGCAGCGTAAAGTGGTTATGACAATGTATAGCAGTTACAGACAATGTACAGCTCCCAGCTGGGAACAGCCTGGCTCTTTCCTCAGCCTCATTAATTAGCCTCCCAGGCGGGTGGCTGGCCTGCTTCAGTAAGTGTGCATTGCCCAGATTTATTCTCGACAGAATTAAGCATGCCTGTATGGCATCTACTGCTGCCCCACGGCAACCCCAAGCCTAATGTTATTTTCTAGACTAAGTTGTCATATAGCTGCTTCTCAGAAAACAGCAGTTCCACTATTTATGGTATTGATTACTGTAATCTCTGGGTATCATAGCATGCTGTAAATAACCATTCCCTGGCATCCTTGGGAGGCTAGGATTGCCATCAGATAGCTCTGGAACTAAGGAACAGCAAAGACTGTGCTTCACTGCCCTACCATTATGGAAGGTTCTGAAGCCCAGTTGTAGGTGAAAATCCTGCTTTTGAGAGGGCTGAGGTTTCTGGAGTAATATTATAGTATGCCTCCTTCACCCAAGAATGATGATCTTTCTTGGAAAGAAAAACATATGCTTAGCAGTGTTTGTTAGGAAGGTCAACTTCAACATCTTGCTGCAACACTGGCTTCAGCTTGAATGATCCTTTTACACGTCAGTGGCAACCGAGGATGAGTGCAATGATGTCTGTATGCTGCAGCCCCAAATGATCATTTAACTGTGTCAGCTCAGAGTCTAGGTCCAAACTTTTCAACAACCCATGTACATGACAGGATAGCTGTTTTCTAAAGCTAGCTGCCAGGTGGGAAGACTTGGGTATGGAGGGGACTGGCTTACACTGAGGCTTAGCCCTTACAACTGCAATGAGGCAAGTAATTTGGGCCATGTCACTCTCAGCTTTCATGCAGGTGCCAAAGGCAGTAAAACCAGACAGAGCAAGTGACTTGCCTAATGTTGCAGAGAAAGCCAGTGGTAAAGCAGAGCTATGATCTCAGATATGCCAAATGCAGGCTGGTGACCTGATCCAGGTATCATCCAGCCTCTGTGCCCAGTAAATACATTCTATAAACACTGTAAAAGTTTTTTTTCCTAAGTAGTACCTACTTCAGTCTTTCCTAGCCAACATTTCACATCAGGGCTTAATGTCCTGAAGTCATTAGCTTTGATATGAAGCATTGGCTAAGAAAGATTAATTTTGATGGCATGTCAAATTATAATGTTAACACATTTTGACATGAACAGCAAGACAGTATTTGGGAATTCTGCCATAGACAGTCAAGTATAGAGTAGTATTTTTTTCTTCTCTTTAATCTGCAGGTGGCACACCATATCCTGGCATGATGGTCGATTCTACTTTCTACAATAAGATCAAGAGTGGATACCGAATGGCCAAACCTGATCATGCTACTAATGAAGTGTACGTGTGCATTGGGCTTTTCCACACCTGGCTAGTCTCCAGACAATTTTGGCTTTAGTTTCTGTTTGGTTACCCACTTTCCTTTACCAGTTGGTTAACTTGGTTTCCATCTTATCTACAGGTATGAGATCATGGTGAAGTGCTGGAACAGTGAACCTGAAAAAAGACCTTCTTTTTACCATTTGAGTGAAATTGTGGAGAGCTTGTTGCCTGGGGAGTACAAAAAGGTTTGATCTTTGGAATTTTCTCTGTGTTTTTTATATGCTGTTTTAGAGGGAATTGCAAGTGTTGTTCCAGCCATGAAAGCCATAAGTACTGAACTGGTACACCCTAACTTATGTGAATGATGTGATTTGGACAGGGACACTGCATGTTTCTGTATGCAAGCTTACTGAGAGAAGCAATTCTGCAGTATTAACTGGGAAGCAGAACTCTCCATTTCTACTTAAATCCTCCCAACTCAGTATTTCTACTGGAAAATGGGTTTTATGTATTCTCACTGGATTTTCTAGGCAGTGAAAGAATTCTAGAAAAGGGACTTATCAACCCATGTGTATTATCTCCCTATCTCCATCTTTGGACCCTAACACCAGGAGGTTTTTCTCCTTATACTTTTGATACCTCTGGACAAGCTCTGCCTGCCCCATCATTCAGAGTTTTATTTTCCTGCCTACCTTCACTCCATTCCCCTCCCCTGCCCCCTTTCACACTTATTAGTCTGCTTTGTGTGGCCACACTCACTCCTGCATCATCCAAACTTACGTGTCACTTCTCCCTTCAAATCATTTGAAGGCACTGGGCTTCTCTATCCAGTGTTGCTGGCTTATAGGGCAGAATATTTGCTGGGTTAATGAATCACAGCTACTCATCTGAAGAAAGGCAGACTCAGTGAACAGCACGTAATGAGGGGTTTGAAATGAATATTTTCAGAGCTATGAGAAGATTCACCTGGACTTCCTGAAGAGCGATCACCCAGCTGTCACACGCATGAGAGGGGAATGTGACAATGCTTACATTGGTGTCACCTACAAGAATGAAGACAAGCTAAAGGACAGGGAGAGCGGATTTGATGAACAGAGGCTGAGTGCTGACAGTGGGTACATCATCCCTCTGCCTGACATTGACCCTGTTTCTGAAGATGAGCTTGGCAAAAGGAACAGGCACAGGTAGGTGCAGTTTACAGATCACGTAGCCTATAGTCACTGTTCAAGATCATGTTTGGCAATGTGCATTAACAATTTTTAGCATCCTACTTGATGAATGTTTTCCTTAGCTCTGTTGAAACTACTTGTTGGGAAGGTGACACGTAAATATGGTAGTATGACTGGCAGCAATGTTTCCAATGGGAAAAAATTATTCTGCCTCTTTTGTGACTGTCAGTGGGAGGGGACTGTTGGTAGGGTGATCCTGTGTGTCACAGGGGCTCCATTGCTATCTTGGCCAAGTCACAGTGCCTGTCTGGTGGCTCCATGGGCACATTTTGTAACATATCTTGCCCCTACGGCTCAATGCCTTGGAGCTGCATATGGGATCTCAAGTGATTGATTTATTCTGTCTGAGATTAGCTCCAAAATTTGGGAGAAGTTGTTTTTAATGCCAGTCTTCCATGGTATTCTTTTCTTTGATGGTAAAGTATCCAGGACTTTTTACTGCTCCCTTGCCAGTTTGTATAACTGATTCCACTAGAGCACTGCACTGTGTAACCTTACTGTTATTTTTACATTTGATTTGTTTAATTCAGCACTTAATTCATAGTATATAAATTAACAACCTAGAAACTTCTTTTTTTGATATTCTTGCACAATTTTTGAGAAGGCGGTAAGTCCCTAAGAAGCACTACTCATATTAAGATTTATTGCCTCTACTATTATTCTTATTGTTTGTTATTTTATTTTCACCTGTCCTCCCTAGATTTACCAAAGTGACCTATTGTCACAGCAGTGTCATCAAGCTAGTTTTCTAAGTAGTCTCTGTCAGAGAGCATGTGTACAACCTGCTCCTTTGAATTCCAAGGTGGTTCTTACTTTTGAGATACAAGATGTGTCATGTCTTAAGAAATGGGCTATCAGTCATCTAATTGTGTCATGTGTCAGAAAGCATGTGGCAAGGTAGTGTTCAGTCCTGCTAGAGGCTGGAGTACTTAGCCACATTTGCCATGTATTTTATTTCTGAGGTGTTTGTCTCTTCCAGTTCCCAGACATCTGAAGAAAGTGCCATTGAAACTGGTTCCAGTAGCTCTACCTTCATCAAGAGAGAAGATGAGACCATTGAGGACATTGACATGATGGATGACATTGGGATCGACTCCTCAGACCTGGTGGAGGACAGCTTCCTGTAACCGCACAGACACCTTCCAGCTCTGCACATGGGGAGCTTGCTGTGTCATCTGTAGAATTCCGCTCCACAGAGAAAACCACTTTATTGCAATGCCAAGGATGTGAAGAGGAGGTGGATTTGTACAGAGAAACTCCTGGTGATGGGCAGAGAAATCAGCCCGAGTATGAGTGAAAGAGACATGTCGAAGATGGATTTTTTAGTGTTGCTTCTTGCAGTACTTGAGTAGCATCTCAGTGTTGTTTGCCATTTGAACTGGTAGGAGGACGAATCAAAAGGCCACAAACAGATGAGTTTTGTGTTTCAAGGGCATTCATATGACTTTGAGGTATCAAATTTCCACTGCAGCAATACTTCACCATTGTAATTATGTAAATAACTGTTTACTCAAGGATCTTTTGAGGTGCACGTTGAACATACGCCATGGATTTTAGAAGAGTCGCTCATGAATTTTGTGTACTTCCTCCCTCAATCTCAATGTCAGCTGCTGTTGAACTATCATGTGAACTGAAGAACATACTAAAACCACTTTTGGGCCAAAAAGGCCTAAAACCACAAGGGACTCACCGGTACTACAAAACATGTTACTTTTTACCATTAATGCAAGTAAACAGGAATAATAATAATAATAATAATGATAATAATAATTAAAAACCAGTCTATAATAGGTGTTAGAAACCTAGTAAGTCTTTATTAACTATAGAAGATAGCTGTTTTCAAGATAATACCACTACTGTTTTCAGTAACACTAAATGTACATTTTACAATTCATTGTCCTTCAGTAAAAGCACAGTCTTAAGAAACTTTTTTAAGTACAAGGAAAAAATTTATGACCTGAAAGTTATGGTAACTGTTCTGGTTGCTAAAACTAGTTTAACATGGAGAAAAATTTAAGATTTTGTTTTCTATCATCAGCTGAGTAGCTTTTCTAATCAGATATACTAGAAGCAATTATTGTCCTCTGATTAAATGAGGTTCTAAATATTTAAATGTTTTTAAAAAAATACGTTATGCCAGATTTCCAAGGTGCTGCAGAATAGAAGATTATAATAAACCAGCACCAACATGCCATTATTATAATTGTATTTCATGGGTACTCAAAAGAAATCTTATCCTGGGTTAGCTGTGAAGAATTGGTTTGATCTTTGAACTGTTCAAAGAACAAAGTCATCTCTCCCAGTCTGGAACTCAAGTTTAAACAAGCAGAAATAATTCTGCAGCAAATACTCCTGTCTTAGTTTTCAGGTTTAAACAGGAATAGAAAACTATTATCTTTGCAGATTGTAACTGCAAATTGCAATTGCTTCCAAGAGTGTTTTTTTTTTTTTTTGAAGAAAGAGCATGAACGTGCTCTCAGCCTGCAATACTTGGGTTTTTTTGACACCACTTATATGAACAAAGTATTACGGTTACTGCTATCACTGTACAATGTGTTATTGAGATATGATGTTTTGGAAGACTTACATGTGAAAAATGGTACATCACTGCAAAGGGCTCCATCCTTTCTGGTGCTCAACTTTCAAACTTAACCTTAATTCAGTGTGATAAGTGTCTCGCTGGATGTGCTCAGCCTCTGGCCTGACACAACCAATGCAAATGCAGTGCAAACTCATCCCTGTGTTGCAGTATTTTTCCTAGGAAGCGGAAAAGATGGACCAGCAGTGAGTGACAGAACATGCTGCCATGTTAAACTACAGTTTAACTTGAAATGGCCTTTAGAAAAGCTACACAACTCCCCTTGACTTCACTTGTGGACAGTTGTGGATCAGATGAAAGCAAATGTAATATTGTCAGCGTTACAGGCAAATAATTCTGGGTCTGGATTTCAAAATGTCACCTGGCTGAGGCCACGTACAAGCATACAACTGATGTGAAAACAGGACCTGAAGTAAGGCACCCGCATTTTCAACCCTGATGAAAGACGACAATCAGAAGGAACCATGAGTGATGGCACATCCTCTATTTCTTGCAGTCAACAAATCAAGACCAGCTGTTCCTTGGAGCCATGCTTTAGCCAAACACATCACTGAACTCTGTACGGGGACAACTGTGAAACATAAAGACTCCTGATACAGCCAGGTGAGACACTGTAAAGTCTCCCTCCAGCTATGAACTATGAATTGAGAAAACACAAATTGTCTGTTGGATATCCCAGATATCTGAATGGCCACTTGAGACCACACATGCCTTAATTTGCATGTGTAGTCATTACAACTACACGTTCGAATTAGGCAAGCAATTTCACCTGCATTTTTTGCACATGGCCGAGGGTTCTTCAGAGTTTGAAAATCAGCCCCAGCATGTTTTATTATACCAGTTACTGGAATCTAAGGACATTTTCATGTAGTCTCCCCTTCCCCTCACTGGTTTCATTCTGTATCTCTCAGTGCATCTCCAGGGGGGCTAGACCCTAGTGGTGGACGCGAACCAGCCGGCTCACTTTCTGATGCATGATAATGTTGATTCTCCATCCTGTCATGGGTATTGTATCAATGAACTGCATCTGTGCCAGGGGTCTAGCCAAACCCAGATCACTGCAGGCTCGGAATCAAATAAGATGGCCTGGAAACTGGAATAAGAAGCAGAGGAAGAGAAGGGATTTACTAGAGAGGGAGAATTGTGAAAGGATGATTGGTTTAGTTTTACAATATTATCAGTATTACAGACTTTCTTTTATGGCTTAATTTTTGAGAAGCCACCAGAAGAGATATTCCCAAACCTTTCACTACAGTAATTGTATAACGACAATCAGTGTTAGCCTATGAAACACAGCTTTTGATTTGGAATGGCCAACCAATACCTTAAAGTGTGGTCTGCAACTTGTACAAAATGGTCCTAATATGTGATGAAGGACATGAGATATGGTGATGTTATACATCAATGTGTATATAAGTATTTTTATATAGACTTTTAGAATACTGCCAAAACATTTATGACAGCTATATCACTGCCTTTGTTTATATTTTTTTTTACTGTGATATATTCCACAGGCACGTTAACTGTTGCACTTTGAATGTCCAAAAGTTATATTTTAGAATAATAAAAAAGGAAGTGTTTCCAAAATGGTGGCTGTTGTGAAATGTTTGAAGAAGGGTGAACTGGCCTGAATGATGGTAGGCACAAAATGTATTTCAAAAATGCCCCTGTTGATATTTTGTCTGTGAAAAAATCCTGTAAATTAAGATCTCTATATTTCAATAAATGATATATAATTTAAGGATATGTGAGGGGTCTATACTCACTTATTGAAAGATGGTTATAGAACATCAGTCTTTCTTGGGGGTTTCTTTCCCCAGAAAAAGGTTTTGGTTAATTGAGTGCTCTGCAAAGCCATTGGGCAGCAACGACAAGTGGGTCTCTGAGTCCTTTCAGTAGTCATAGCAGGGAAGTGTCTGTGGCAAACGACCTGCACAGCGAGTGACATCTGTGGAGAGCCATGCTGTCCTCCAAAACATGGCAGGTGCACTGCTCCAGCCATGATCCCGCTGCCTGGAGCAGAGCATGTGCCCCTGCAGAGACGAAACCCTTCCTGACCTTGGCACTATGTGTGCTGGGGAGATCGATGCTGGCTGGTCTGCACACACCGAGGAAAGGGGCAACACGGGATGCAAACAGATGTGCTGTGCTGCATGTCTGCAACATACATTCCCTGTTGCTTCTATCATCAGTGTGCAGTAAATGGTTTTATGCAAAGATTGCTTTTAACAGGGGGCTAAAAGTGACTTGTATCAGTCTTTAACCTAAAGCTTTTGATGGCTAGAGGGTTAGATGGTTGCACCTGGAAATGGCCATGGTTTCTCTGCCTCTGGCTGAGAGGTATTTTAAGCCTATGCTGAGCTTACCTTCTTTATGAATTAACCCAGATTTTTGTCCCATGGTTCTGCACTCCACATTAATTAATTTTACACTGTGGATGTTACTGAATGTGAATTTGAGAAGAATTGCAAGATTTCAACCTGAAAACGGAATAAAACTATCAGCTGCACTTCCTGCAGTGGAGCCTGTCCTGGCTTGCCAGTGGAAGCCAGGAAGGCTGGCTTGGGAAAACCCATTGAACAGGCAGGTTAGCAACTTCCTGTCCATGGTGAGGTCACTTGTTAAAACATGCTTGGAGATGAACTATCATCTAACATCTCTCTCTCCGTTACCACTTCCTCACAAACCCTCTCCTCGCTTCAAACAGCACACGGCAGCCTGGGCCCTTGCCTTAGAAAAGAGTTGGAGCAGGTTCCCTCTTCTTTGTGTCCTTGCCAAAGAGGAATCTTTATCCTACAACACTGCACTTCCTGCCACCCCAGGGGTTCGGGAAAGAGCTGTGGCAGCACTCGGGTCCTTATGTCTGTCCTGCTTGGTTGTGCACCTGCTCTTCTGGAAGCTCAGCAGCTGTGTGAGACGTGAGTACAGCTGGACTCCTGAT